TTTTTCAACAGCCAGGCCTCTTTTCTTTCCCTGTCCTTCCTAATTTTGGAAGGCTTCTTTTGTTTTCCTTCCCGTGGAACCTGAGGTCTAGGTACGGAGGAGAAGGTGGAACCCTGGGGTCTGGTGACTGATGAGAAGGTTATTGTTTCCTTCCCATTCTCAGTCTCCAGAGTCATCCTAGCCCAGATCCCTGCTGATCTACACTGATTGTATAATCTTAGGATGGCAGGGAAAGTATTCACCCCTGCCATCTTGTTTTAGCTCTAGTGTACTGCAGCAATCACATACTGTTGTGTTCGGTACCAAGGTCAGCTGAATACTGAAATAAAGAGAAACTGTCAATTAACAGCTTCTCGTAGTTATACTTTTAAACTTGTAGTTTTAAAAAAAATTGTTGGAAATCAAAACTTAAATAAAAAGTCGTCTTCATTGTATTAATGAAAACGCCGACTTCTGAAGTTTATATTGTTTTAAGCTTGGTGGTGTCTATTTAAAGTGGAGTCTATTTAAATCCGTAACACCTCGCGGAGAGTTCATGACATATTCTTGAAAGATTATTCAAATTACTTCAGGATAGTTTAATTCCATGGTATCAGCCGAAGAGCTTGGTTAGGAGATTGTCTAATTATTCCGCATGGTCAAAGGGCTGCATCGTCAAATGGTTAAATTACGATGATACATCTTTTTATTGTTAAATGTTAGTTTGTTATATAATATGGTTAAATTATTAAATGGCTTAATGGTTGGATGGTTAAATGGTTAGTTTGTTAAATGATTAGAAGGTTGGATGGTTAGATAGGGATTGGGTTGGCAGAGAGTGAGATCGAGATTACAATATGTTTTTGAATGTCGTCTATAACTGTTCAAAGAATTAAGATAAACTAAAGTAACCCCTTTGAAGTCTAATATTCTACTGAAAGCTTGAAATGCCTCTCCGTAAATTTACTGTTTAGTGTTTACTGCGCTTGCTGTATGAATTTGCAGTCTGATAGTTTCACAGTCTCTACGCAGATGATTTATTACTCAAACTCTACGCAGTCAGATTAATTAACAAGACACTAGACACAATCCGAAGTGTTAGTGTTCATTGTGCATTATATAGCAGCAGGTTACCCACTCATAAGGGTTTCCGACCATAAACTGTACTTGATCTTATAGTTGAGTGACCGTCGAATTTATCAACACAATGAAGACGCCTTTCGATTCTAATTTTTTTTACTTATACGAATTTTTTAAATACAAGTTTATTTCCATGTTTATTTGTATCCATGCTGCTTGAAAGCTTGATAGAAATCAATAATCAAAATCGAAAGTTGTCTTCAATGTACTGATATATACGATGACGACTGTATGATACACATAAATATGGAAATAAAGAGAAACTTTTTAAGATCTAGATATTTTTATTAACACAAAACATAAAGTTATAAAAAGTATGAGTTTGAATACGAAGATTACATAGTGTTATTTTTGAATGAAATATAATTACAAGGATATTTTGATTTTGCTTGTGGACAATGAATAGGGTCGCAATTTATTGGAAAAACTTGTTCACATTTAATGCAAGTGGATACATTTACTAGGTGTGTGTTCAACTTGTGATGCGGATTGATCGAGCAATCTTTAAAATGTTCAGTTTTCATCCACTGTGTATGAGGTATATGCTCGGGTCCTTCTGTCTGTTTCCAAACACAATGTCCTGTATCACAA